TAAGCACATAGCTAAACGTGTAACACTGCCAACGTGTCTAGCATTTTCTTCTGTGAAATGCTTGAAAAGCTATACGTGCTTAGCTTTTACACATATTTCTTAATACGTATAGGTGCTTAACGTATGTTGTATGTATTTAAATGCTAAGCACTGTTTTTACAGTGTATAGTGCGGTGTCCGAGGAATCTGTCATGATCATGCATCTACAATATCAGGATAGTGCTTCTCCAAGTCACGGTGAAATTTCTAAAGTTGACTTTATTATTTGAGTTCTTATAAACATCAACATCAGCCGTCACCAGCAACCCATGAATAGGGACAGGGGTCAAGTAACCTGACAATTATAAGAAGGTCCTGGCCGCTATATCACCTAGCGGTCAGTAATTGTCAACATCTATTCACATCAGTCTGATGAAGGCCTTCTCCGCGGTATGAAAATATTTCGGCTTGTGTTTGGTAATTTTCATTTAAGAATTAATTAGTTTGTGAATAACAGTGAGGAACACATTCTTCACCCGATTCTATGTTCCTCTGGTAGCAGCTGAAATCTGATTTACAAGTATTCCTATCGCTTATTAGAGCGATCTTTCTTTTTCGCATAAAACTCAAGGATACACACTCTTTACACATCAGATATAAATAATAGGAATAATATGGGTATGAAAAACATGGCAAAATATACTAACTTTTACGTCATTTTTTTACTGACACTATCTTTTGGCAGTAGTTGAAACCTACGTATTCCTCTGTCGAATGACGATTATCTTGGATTTTATCCAAATATCCAATGACACAAACTCGGTCCACATAAGATATGTATAAACAAAAGTGTGGAAAATAATTATTTAATCAAAAGTTATTCTATGGGCAATGTATGTGGCATATACGTAATTGAAAGTTATCAATGCCCATGGATTTTCTAAACATGTCGAAGGTTACACACGTGTTACCTGCCAAAAAAACATACCAACAAACAAACAAACAAACAAATTGTCGATTATTAGTTGATTATTGATCCAGTTCATCACCAAAAACTAATCATCTGTTCCTTGGTCCACTTCTGACAGTTCCTGAAAATTTCATCAAAATTGGTCCATAACTTTTGAGTTATTTTGATGACAGACAGACAAACAAACAAACAAATAAACAAATAAACAGACAAACAAACAAACAAACAAACAAACAAACAGGGATGAAAACATAACCTCCTTGTCGGAGGTAATGATATTTGTTTTAGATGTTTAGTGTTTAAAGTAAACTAGTGAATTGTTCTATCTCAATTTTAAGATATACATTCTAAAATACTCATTTATAGTGGCAGCTAACACACTATGAATAATGAAATGAATGAATAAGCCCAGGCGTGAAATTTATTAATAGACGTAACTATAAGGAGTACTTATTATGTGTATTTTTACTAATGTATTTCATATTGCAGTGTATTTTCTTTTCTCAGTAAAGGTCAGCGCTATAATCAAGTACGCAATGCTACAGAGGGGCGCAATAGCAATAGTGTTGCACTCACTTTTCCTGGCCTCTGTGACTTGTCAGCGAGAAGGCAGTAGGTGTTTCGACAGTTCGTGCAGTGACCCAGGACCGCCGGCAACTACCAGAGTTATTTTGACACGTGAAGCCAATTTGAGCGATATTTCCACGGTCTCCAACCAAAGACCTGCAACTAGCACCGTTCCTCTCGAAAATGTGACTGCCACGGCACCGAATTATTGGAGTCAGGTGACTGCAGGTGAAAAGTTTTGTATCTACGATGGGAACAGTCTAAAGTCTGTTGTTAATATAGCATGTTACTGTGATGAGTATTGCAACATATTTGGTGACTGTTGTTTCGCCGTTAACATTACCTGCAACCATACAGATGAGTCGGATTCCAAATTTTCATCAACNAAAAAATGAAATGCATTTAATAAAAGATTTTTAAAAAATTATTTCATTCTTTGATATGTCCTAAAATATTCTGTTGAAAGGCAACGAATGCATGATGAACTCTTGAAAATCAATGTATCAATGTCTAGAGGACAGTGGTCATGTATTGCCAATTCTCCTTATCCATCCTGTGAAAAAAGTCTCAAAGTAATAGCAGAATTTGTAAAGACTGCTGTTAAAAACATAGTTTAGTACATCACAGACACTCACTGATTATAATGTTGTCGATAACTTAAAGGGATAATAACTTTTCGTTTTGGCCAAAAATGAACTTTTCTGGAGTAAACAATTTTCCCATACATATTATTTTTTTATTTTATTATTATTATTTATTTTTTTTTTTTTTTTGTGTGTGTGTGTGTGGTAAAACAGAATATATTACATTTCTATGAGTTGTTCACAATGTTTTAATTGTGAAATATATATATCATACGGATAGTTATTATCCCTTTAATTAATTTTATAGCATAACATTCATTAACACGTGTAATTAAGCATACTACATATGTAGACATATATAAATGTACATCCTTATATGTTGTGTAAATAATGTCGTCTAGAGAGCCTACAAATGTATTCATATAATTTAGTGCTCAATAAAATTATTATTATTAAAATAACCACAATGGTTTTTAGATAAGCAGATGCTTTAAAACAGCAATATGATAAGATTTTGCTTGGTATTGATATATATCATCAACTACCTGTGGGTTCTACATTAATTACACCTCTTGAAAAGAATCAACACATATCTAATATAACTAGTTCTCAGACCAATTGAAGACTGTAAGTTGGTTTTAACTTTCGGAGCAAAATATTAGTCTATTTTAACCCAATATAATCACTGGTAGTAAAGCCAAAACCTCTCTCAAACAACTAGAATTAACACAATTTGCAATATCTGTAATATTACATGTATGAATAAAATGTGATGAAGTGAAGCTGTAGAACAAGATTTCAGTTAAAACGTAAGGAGGACAAATGAAGTCACGTGCTCCACTTTTCATTTGCATCTCCAACAGAATCTCGCACAGGCCATTTGCATAAATCACAGCTTGGTGTCCGTTTCACAAACACACACACACACACAAAAAAAAAAAAAAAAAACGGGTTCTCTGCCTAAGAACTTGCAATTGGTTTCCAACGTAATTAAATATGTACGTCACTAAATCCCATTTCGACGATGCCTACAGTGGAGCTCGTAATTATGTTTCTTTTGTATTCCGGTTTAAAAACTTTTGAAATATTTTAACCCCCATTACTGTGAAAAGAAGAGGGTGGGCAAACAATGGACAACCATAGTAATTCCTTCCTTTTATTATGTGTCATTAACAGCAGGTCATATCATGCAAAAGACCGCCACTGTTTGTTGCGGCGACATGATAATATCATACAAAAGAAAGAAGAGTGTCTCTCCTGAGGAAAGCTACCGGGAGATAATGCTCGAACTAAATCCATCACCTTTTAAGAACATTTTTTTCATCTGGATCCCTCATCACATAGTTAACTAGATGCATCGTATCCAGGAAAGAAGCCTAAGAAGTGGTATTTTATTAATCCACCTTGTGCTTACAGCGAGGGGTGGAGACAAGACACATGTACTCAGGTACCTAGCCTGGGATGCCGGAGTTTTGATAAAGTAGATTTTATAAGACTTATTCAACACAGTACAAAGCACGACATTGTTTAAAATATGGACCCTAAGGATGCTTTTTTGTTATCTTCCTTGCGGGGTTGTTATATAATTATAAAAGCTTGTCAGCTAACGGTTATTGCTATAAAAACAGGATCAAAAGAAGCGGCGCATGTTCTTAGGACATGTAAGGAGGTTTAACTCTCACCATCTCGAAAACAAGGCAATTAAGAAAAGACACCACTTTATACTGTTTCCAATCATCGATTTGCCCTAGAATATATTTTCTTTTAAATGTAAGACTTTATTAAAACAATGGGTATAATGGCATTTGCAGTTATTCGGTTATATTTACAAAGAAATTATCCGATTTTTAGCTCTGTCTAGGCTGTGAGAAAAAGATCTCTTTGAATGTGTCAGATCAACAGTCCATTACGTTTACTTAAAAGACGAGAAACAAAACAAATTTACCCCGTCATCTCGGGCCAACATAATTTAGCTTTGAAAATACTATAAAATATTATAAATAACTCGAATTATCGATAATTAGTTTTATCATCCTCTTGTTCGCTCACATCAGGCTTGAAAGAGAATTTTAATTACTTGAATATAAGGCCATTCATAGCTTTTAGGACAAACAGACTTACTAGGGATAAATGTAAACCTTTTAGCAGTATCTCCCCAAATTTTGATCCTTTGATTTGCTGGTATTGTGAAAAGAAAAGTGGCTACAGAATAAATAATAAATACGTTTCTATCTATCTAGATACAAAAGGCCTATCCCCACTCTCTATTCTACTCAGTTCATTTTTTCGTATCGCGCTCCTTCAATCTCTCTCTCTATCGGGTATTTTTACTCTCTCTCTCTGTAATATTTACAGCCTTTTGTGAATACATTTAGTGTTTGAAAATGGTAAGCTCACTACCATCTCTAAACTTTGAAATTGATGTCTGCAATAACTCTCCTTAATCATGGTAAAATAGTACTATCTGACCACAGGGTGCACTAGTCTGTTACAAAAATGTTGAAAGTCACGGTGTGATTTATACGTATTTTAGTGGGGCCCTGATACCAGAGGATTGTTAAACACTGCTAGGAAAGTGGCTGGTGAATTAACCGTAGAGGGTGAAAGCGAGGAACAATAAACACTTTATTCCTATAGCTCATAGCCCACTAGGACAAGCGATTGTTTTAAAGACGAAGCGGCAAAGGTCTCTGGGGTGCTGCCTTACGTTAGCAAAAAATCATCTGGCATAAAATCTTGCATAGGCATAAATCACAATTTGAGGTACACCAGTATATTGTACATGTATATTTAAGTCTATTTTATAAATCAGAATTCACTACGCGCAGAAATCTAAGGTTATATGTTTCAATTACAACTTCAACAGCAGCGGGCGCTGTGGTAAGCAGGGGTCCTGGCAGTTAAATTTTGATGTTCATCTTAGACATTTGACTGTAGAGCTCCTCCTCCATGTCGTCTCCACGTAGTCGATCCTCAATGTAGTCCTCGGCACTTCCGGTCATCTGCCTGAGGGCGTTCAGTGTCATGATGTCCACTCTGGGGTCAATGGAGGTCTCGGACTCGTAGTTCTTCAAGGGTTGGACGTGATTACTCTGTATGCCGAAGGCGTGACTGATTTCTTTCACTTTATTTTCAATGACACGACTGTGAAATACCACAGATGGGTCTTGGGCTACGTCCGAACACAACTTGTCCACCTTCGTCAAGACCACGTGGACCGGGATATCTGCAGGAGATTAAAAGCCAGTTAATGAATTACCCTTACTCTTTAAACATCCCCATTTTAATATTTTAAACACTGATCTGTGGTCAATGCAGCAAAATAAAAAACACCTTTAATATGAATATCTGTGATAAAACATCCATACACATGTATACTAAGTGAGGTGAGGGAAAAATAAGTTGCCGTTGGAAGTCTCTCTGCAACAGTTTGACTTGCCTAAATAAACATTCTAATTCAAACAAACGCCAGTTTTCAATTCCAAACATTGGCCTGCTTTCACCTACGAGTAGGAGTGTAATGTCGGTAATTGACAGCCATGAGTGAATAAGGATCGGGGAGTGTTTTGTTGAAGAACTGAGTTGTCTGAAATGATTTTGACACTTATTCAACTGCTTTTGATGTTAACGAAGAGAAAGCCGCTAGAGATTGAATGGGGTAGAGATAGAAATCAAAAGAAAGCGGCACGGGAACCGATTGGAAAGTAGTTAATAAACTAGAGGATCAGAGAGGCAATACCGCCTCCAAGTATTGTACCACCACCTGAAGTAAGCAAATTTGTACGAAAAACGGATAAAGGGGAATACCACCTCCAGTGTATTGCTTGCCAAGCTCTACAAAATTCAATAAGCTGTAGTTCTCATTTTTTTCTTGAAAATAACAATTTATAACAAAATCATGGGGAAAAGTAAAAGGTCTAATCCAAATTTGTGAATTGCAGTTCATGGCAAAGGTTAGGTTTAAGGTCAATTTCAAGTTTCATAGTAAGTATGGGTGTATCTCTGCCAGTTTTGAGGATATAAAGGTCAAAATATTTGCAAAGTTCAGTTAATGGAGAAAACTAGGTCAAATGTCAATTCCAAGGTTACAGTTAGATTGCCAGTATATGACTTCCTATTCAAGTTTAATAGTAACGATGGGCGTTCGCTGCTTATTTTCTGGCATCTATGTTGCAGAAACAGAGTTTTCAGTTTCCGCATCTAATGGCTGCTTCTCCCGTAAAAATGCAGTGACATGGCGGCGGAGCCGGCGGAAGCTGTGGACGAGACGGATCAGGGCCCCGTAACACAATGCGACCGTGCGCAAGCGTCTCGATTCCATAACTCGCCCATACTCGCCCCATATAATACATTGTAGCCTCTTTTTGATAAAGCGTTTTGCAATACGCGATGCTTTCGAGATACGGGGCCCAGGATTAAAACCATGTGTACCGCAGGGCCTTCGATGGTGGTACAAATAACAGGAAAGTTTAAAAAAGAGTTGTATGTACTGAATCGCGTAACAGCAAAGGATAAAGACAACAACTTAGTCAAACTAGTATAAATATTTCTTTGAAAATGAATGGCGTTCGAAAAGTTTTTAGTATCGAACCATGGGGATTGAACGGATTCATGTCCCAAGAATGATGTACGTACAGTACTGATATTAAGTCTCATTTGCACAACACTTCAATTAATATGTGTACCGAGTAATATCATACTTGCATGTATGTTTTTAGGTTCAAATGTTCTCATTCGAAGAACATAATTACGCCCATCACTTGTGTTATCGCTATATTTCATATTCAAAATTATCAATATACCCAACGTACTTCTTGGGAGTTCAATCCCCTTGATCTCGCTTCCATGTCACGTCTGCCCTCGTACTTTCGCAGCAAGTAAACATATATTAAAACAAATACAATCGACTTTGAAATCCCAGTGTGAAAAAATATAGACGTTACCTCTGTCACGTGCCAGTTTACATAAATCAAGCAATTTGTCCTTGACCTTGGGAGACATGACCTTGTACGTGCTGCCATCTATGACAAGTGCTACGCAGTGAATGACGTCACTCAAACCAGGGTCCTTCACAAAACCAGGAGATTTAGTTGTGATACGCACAGCCGGATTAAACTGCAGATAAATTTTTCTTCCTTAATATAAACGTAATTGCACGTAATTGAACGAATAACTATATAAGGTTAGGTTAACCTAGGGGAAATCAGTCATCAAAACTGTAGAGCAAAGCACAAACTTAAAGGGATAATAAATCTTCGTTTTTGTGGTAACACAGAATATATTATATTTCTATGAGTTGTTCACAATGTTTTTATTGTGAAATATAGATCTCATACGAAGAGTTATTATCCCTTTAAACAATATAAAGGGTAGCTAATCACAACTTTCTAGAGGGATATTTTTGGTATGTGATAATTCTTTGGAGATGAAAATAATGCTGAAATATTTTCTTTAGCCAAACGTCACAAATATATTACAAAAACATGAAATGTTGCCATCCAATAATTAGTCCTGGACTGGGGAATAATTAAAACTGAGGTATCTACCAGGTTGTCAGACACCAGACTCTACACTCAGTACGCCTCAGTCTTCCCAGAGACTTTGAAAATGACAGGCGCCATCAGTTCCAATAAACCTCTACGACTCTGGGTGTTAATTAAAAGTGATCTCCACGGATTCTTCCCACCAAATTGAATTTCCTGGGGTGGAGAGCAAGTTTTCTCTTACTCACGAATTATTGCCTATCCTGTCCCCACCCTTCCATTTTTAATCAAAAATGTCTGGCCAGTCCAATAAAACGACAGTAGTAATAAAAACCTGGGAGACTAACCAAAAAGGATATGGCCCTGAAAGGGCCATCTGACTACAGGCTTGACATTTTAAAATATGACATATTCCAAGTTTGAAGGTATGCCTAGGAAAAAATGCGCTCTTTTTTAAAACTACGATCCCATATAAGATATGTGAATGGAGAAGTCTGTTGTCAGGTGTGTCGTAAGCAATTAAGTGACTACTAGTCAAGTAGCTAACCCTGCAATGTAAATGTAAACTGCAATGTAAACTTTTTTTGCTGAAATGCATTTTTCAGGTCGAGAGAAGCTAAATTAGCTTGGTTGCTATTTCCAAGACATTGAGCATGTTTCAATATGGCCGTCAATTTACAAGGAAAAATAGAAAAATGACCAGAAGTCGCCGGCAGCTTCTTTTAAGCTTCTTTTAAGCTTCTTTTAAGACTAGTGAGTAAACTTAGGCAGGTAACATTCAGCAAGAAAGCCAAAATGGTCATCAAAACATGTCAGAAATTAAAAAAGCTGCAAAATAAGTTTTTTTTTTTTTTTTTTTGCAAATTTTGTCTTTTTTAAAACATATCCGCTTTTTCTATTTATGTTCATTATGATGATTTGCTTGTCATGATCCTAAACTCTCAGAAACTGCTTATTTGACATTTATCAGATGGTGGCAGACGGTGCAATCGCCCAGGAGTCCATTTGCCACTCCCACGAGCCCCATAGTCAAAGCCTGCTAAGTTATATCTTTCGAGCTCTTTTAAATTATTATTATTTCATCTGGGCTACAAAACTTAGGAAAGTTCATTGAGCTTGACTTTCTTTGCCAGTTGATACATACGAGATATTGATAAATTTTAAAAATTCAAGATGGCTATCAATGTGTTATATGAATAGCCAGAGCCATACATTCAAAAAAAAAAAAAATGCTTCACTCCATTATTCATCATTGCATATTTATGTTAACATCCTTGCAAATTACGATCATTTATTTCATTTGTGCAAGTCATTTAAATAAAAATGGCATCCAAAACATAATGGAAGGGCAAAGAAACAACTGTTAAACTACAAGTCTTTTAACTGAAATAGACCTTAACTGGAACAAATATAAATATATATATATATATATATAAATATATATATATATATATATATATATATATATATATATATATATATATATATATATATATATATATATATATATATAAAGTAAAAAAGGATTGACATGCGGTCAGGACATGGCACACAATAAAACATATTTTTAGGTTAAATAATACAAAAAAAAAAAAACGAAAATCAATATGTCCGTCAATGCTACTCCATGACCAAACCAAACATTAATTGCGGATATCTCAGTCCTGACAACTAGTTTTTCATTCTAAATAAAAAATTACATTGTTGATGATTATGAAAGGCTTTATCATTTTAGTATGTGTAAACCAAATCATTTTGAAATGAATAAGGCTTCAAATCATTTTTTCTTAGGGTTGGATTACTCTTATCCTTTTTTTTTCTTTTTTTTAAACTTTTTAAAATAATTTAACGCCTATGGGTAAAGGCATTTTTGTTGTTTAATTAGGAATTTTATTATAAATAATCAAGACCCAAGCATCGGCATACAAACCCAGCGGTTGGGGCTCATGAAGTCAGCTATTCATGACAACGTGACATAATTAGGGGGTATGCGAGGGTTACCCATCTACATCATGTATTTGAAATATTGTTTTTGCCAATATATACTTACAGTCAAGGGAGGCTTTGAGATAGGAATGTATGCATATTTCTACTTGCAGGGTAGATGTAATTATTCATTGTGGATTTATTGATGACTTAGTGCTCGGGTAGTTGAGGTAATGATGAGTTGTCCTGTTTCCATGGTTCATTGGACATGGGTAAGGCTTATTTGCAAAAGTGGACCAAATACACATTGAGCAATACTCGGTGGGCATCTGCACATTTTGAGGATTGGTTTTGGAGGCCTATAAAGGCCCAAAAAGGCTTCCCTTGTTGTTAGTCCAGTGAACGGTATCATGCCATGTATATCATGTGAACAACGTACATCTCTGTTCACTGGGTGTGACGGAGTCCGATTTGAGCTACAATGTATGGGCTGCTCCCACCCCACATTCAAGAACTTGGTTGAATGTCACAACATGCCAGGCTCTGTTAGTGATAGACTGCAGCCAGGGCGACAGAATGTCAACTCCAGACCATTATCGCTACATAAGGTCGCATCACCTGTGGGACCAATTTCGCCAAGCCAGTCGTACAGCACAATTTAAGAAGCACCTGGCAGGAACATCAACCGGAGCAGCAGCCCCGCTGTGCGTCGACGCTTGCAATAAAGTATACCAGGCGACTGCTGGTAGTCTTTCTATATTTCCTCATAAATTGACGGCCATATTGAAAAATGCTCAATGTCTCGGAAATAGCAACCAAGCTAATTTTGTTTCTCGTGGCCTAAAGAATGCATTTCAGCAAAAAAAGTTTAGAGGAAAGAACATTGCAGGGTTCTACTATTGGGCCTCGGGGAGTGGCGACTCGACTAGCAGCCTTTGCGTTGATTAACTCAAAAAAATTAATTTTACAGGTTTGTTTACTTGAAGTAACTAATTACATGCATAATGGATTGTTCGACTATTTGGCCTATGGGTGTGGCGACTTGACTATACCAGGTCTGTTGCGCTGCTGCATTATGTAATAAGCAGTGATTTAATTGGGTAGTGCTCCTTTGGACAGGTCAAAGCTTGGCTTTGGCAAAGCATGGTTCTGTTAAAAAATATCCATATGTCGGCAACTACTGTATAGAAGATTTTGGAATTTTGCATGCAAGTGGTCGGTCTTGCAGTGTGTGAACGATGCAGTGCTTTACAAATTTGTTAATCTGTGGCAGAATGGCGCAAAAAAGACAGACATTGCCAGACAGATAATTTCGCCGAACGAAACGGTCCGCACTGTTTTATAAAATAATGCCCAGACTGATGTACCTACACAAAGGCCACACCATAGAAATCTTACCACCAGGGTACAGGACCCATTGTCTTTTTCGAAATGCTGTTGCAATTAAACAGAAACCAACCAGTCCGTTCAGAATGAGGGGTAAATTGCCACCAAAACGCATTTTTCAAGGCCCTTAGCGAACACCAAACTGGTAAGTAGTTAGAAATGGACACCAGTTTTTTTTGTTTTTTTTTTTATGTGTGGCTTGACGTGTGGATTTTTTTTTTCTTTTTTGGTATGGTTGGTTGGGGTAGCTATGGCTACGATGGTTTTTGTTATTGTTTTCTTATTTATTTTTTCTTGTGCATTACGACATTTTCTTTGTTTTTGAAAATCCTATCGTGTCTCTATTGATTTTCAGTCGCGTCTCATCGTTTAGGTTATAGTGCGCTTGCACTGAAGTTTGTTTCAGTCAGCAAAATAGGAAAAATTATGAAAAACGATTCGGAAAAAAAAAATCATATTAAATGCCAAGCCTGTATGTACTTTATTTCTTGCAATATGCGTTTTAATATATATTTTACTACATAATAAAGAAAGAAAACGTTATTTGGGATGACATGACAAGTGTATACACAAGATTCAAAAGGTAGGTGTTTATTTGAATACGCTGAACCGGGTTTTTTAATTGAATGGATGAACAAAAAGACGCGCATTCGTTATTATTTACCAAAAAGAGAGATGGCACTGTACCTGTAGAATAATTTTCCATTTCACACTGAAAAACAAAAACATTTCATCTGAAGAAGACAAATAATTTTAAAGACAAACAAAAAATATTCTGCAATATTAAGGTCTGATTCGGAAGAAGGAGGAGAAATAGGAAAATGCTCATATATTTTAAAGACGAAGAGATGAGTACCAATTTTTAGATTTGAATCGGACAAATATTGTTAAAGTTTTACTATAAAGAAAAAAAACAGAAAATAAAGATGCAAAAAAGGTCATTTTGTCAATTTTGATGCAATGATAAATAATGCTTATAATAGCACTGTCAGTCAACACTGAATTTAAATCATGCACAACAGGTAACATGGTCAATAACAGGAGCGGACCCAGAGATATTTTCTGACAGTATTCCAAAGTATCTATGTTGATCCATCCTCCATTTTGATGTTCTTCCAACAGAAAAAAAATTGATACCAGTCAATATAAACTTAATAACCTGTCTGTCTTCCGGAAGACCCAGAAGATGGTCTCAATAAAATCCACCCCTTCAATAAGATTACAGTTTCAGGACCATGAGAGACCAAAGTCACATGATGAAAGTCTCAATATTTGAAAAAAAAAAACAGAAAATAAAGATGCAAAAAAGGTCATTTTGTCAATTTTGATGCAATGATAAATAATGCTTATAATAGCACTGTCAGTCAACACTGAATTTAAATCATGCACAACAGGTAACATGGTCAATAACAGGAGCGGACCCAGAGATATTTTCTGACAGTATTCCAAAGTATCTAT